TAATTAAATTAAATCACTCAAACCTAAACCCCCCCTTTTGTTACTAGTTAATTAAAAAGAGAAATATTCCTTTCCCTGTGGATACGAACCTTACTTCATTATACTACGTGTAATTGTTGTATTGTATTATTATTTTGAGTGCACACCGCGACAAAGTGCACGTCAGTTACTTTGTTTTAATAATAAAATACAAAGTATATTTTAAATATAGTTTTTCACTTTTTCATAGTACTAGTATGTAACTCGTGCGATGCACGGGAAAGTTTAGTCTCATATTAATTTAAGATATATTATGAATTAAATAAAAAACATATATAATTTGTATCATGAATAGAAATGTGAAACCACAAAGTTTACATTGGAAAAAGTAAAATTGAACGGTTTGAAAATCCTTGGGATGCCCCACATTTATTGTGGAATTACTTTGTGTGTATTCGTTGCGTATCAATATTTTCAATTTTGGTGCATGGTAACTCGTGAGACAACAATATACAATTGACCATGACTTTAAGTCGACTTAGGTAAGCGACTCAACCTGACTTTCATTGATTATCATTGCATATGAAGTACAATTGAGAATTGTCTTCATTCAAAGTTTCAATGTCTTTTTATTGAGGTGAATTTCTTAATTTAAGGACTATTTTCTTCTTCTTTAATTTAGCAATTATGCAAATTTAATTAATTTATTTATAATTGGATCTAACCTGATTAGGGAGCAAAAAATAGTGAAATGTTGGTTGTACGCGTCATTTTACACGCCGAGGACTTTGTTTGTGCACATACATTTTTTATTTTGAAAGGAGAATTATATGTCTCACACCGACACTTTTTTATTTGTGGCACAATTTTTTTTTTGTCAGTGTGACACAATTTTTGTTATAAAATGAAAAAACATTGTTCACTTACATGCAAAATACCCAGCGTGTACATGAAGCATAGTTGTACAAAATAACATAGGCAAAAAATGTGGACTGTGGAACTGTCCGTCTAACCCTATCTAGATTCGTGTACATATTAGCAGTTGCCATAGCTTTCTTACTCTCTCTTCCTCAATTCTCAAAATTTATGTGGCATGAATTCAGGGATGTCCTTAGGGCAAAAATAATTAAAAATTAGGTCCAGTTTAGTTGATAATAATTTTTAAGCGCATATTATACACTTTCTCGGGAAGACTTTCACATCTCATATGCAGATAGTATGTTTCACACTTTATATGATTCAGACAACTAACAACTAATGTATGTGTACAATGACATTGGTTTCTGTGCAACCAACCTTATAAATCGGCAACAAAAGTACACCAATCAGCAAATCAAATTTTGTTCACACCGGAAATTTGTCGAAAGTGTCTGTATTTGTACTTTTTGTCTATGCGAATGACAAATATAGAGGGTGTAACTCATGGTGTACACCAAGAATGATTGTTATATGTGATATCGGACTTTACATCTCATTTCTAAAAAAAAATAGAGTTTGCACCCAAGGTCCTAAGCACCCCAATTTTTATGAAGAAAAATTTCAGAATAGAGTGCAAAATCAAAGGCATTTTAAGGGAAATAGGATGCAATATCAAGATTTTAAAAATAGAGTGTAAAGTCCAATATCACCTAAAAAGTGGGGTGCAAAGTCAAAATCACCCTATAAAAATTGTTTTTTTTGTAGATACAATTGTGTGATCCCTTTACTAAAAATGAAAACAAATTGTCTATGCATAAAGAGCATTCTTCAAATAAAATAGACCACCTATGGATTATTTTATTTTTAAAGACTTTGATGGAGGGAAATATTGTGGGATGAACTCTTTACATAGTCGTTGGTCCCAAGTTCAGAAATGATATTGATAGAAAGAATATAACCACCTTTATGCTTCATCTCTAACCAAAAATGGAAATAGTTCGAGTCTAATAGCCTCATCGGAAACTTCATTCATCTTGATGGTATTGCAAGCTCTTAAGAATCTTGTGATGTGTCCTTATGCATCCTCATTAACTTCTCCTCCAAATTGGTCATACGACACTAAGCCTATAGTGGAGGTTTTGAGCTCAAAACTGTTGGCTTCAACTTGTGGATACTGGGTACTTTCATGAGCTTGGTTGTGAGGCTCTACATCATCCGCAATAGAATGTTCGGGTGCCCGCTCATAGTTTCCACCTCGATGTCCATAATTGAAAGCTTGGTTAAATGGATAATTAAATAGACCACCACCTTGGTAGAAAGGGGTTCCTTGATTAAATGGACCACTTTGAAAGTAGAGGTCACCACCTTGATTGAATTGGCCAACTCCTTGATTGAATTGGACACCACCTTGATTGAATTGGCCAACTACTTGATTAAATTGGACACGACCTTGATTAAGGGCTTGTTGGACATTCCCTGAGGATAGCTAGGTATAAGTTCCCTTGTCACTCTCACGATCAAGGGAGTACTAAGGGAGTACTAATAGCAATCTAAAGTCATGAAAAGAAGAGCAACCAACAATTTTCCCCTACCTTCTCCCACTCTCATGGAGAGGGGGTAGTGTGTGTGTGTGTGTATGTGTGTGTGTGTATCAAAAGGAACCCTACAAGTCTCCTTGAGTGATCAAATCAACATCTAAGAACATTGTGACCATCAAAGTTTTAGAAATTCAAAGAAGCATTTTCACAAACACATAGAATGCATAATATATTTCTGAAGTTCCTTCAAATCAAACCCCAAAACCTATAACCTCACATGATTGAATGATCCTTAAACATCCCCAATCCCTAATCCTATTACTCACTCATGCTAGATTTCATATCCATAAAGCATATGCAATACAAACTCATGAAATGAAACAAAAAGATAAGGGAAGAAGATTTAGGGAAATAATGTAATCTAAGATATTGTTTTGTGGATTATTCTTCTAAATCTATTATAGTATCTGCTCATGTTAATGACAACATCCTTGATTGAGATTAGACTTGAATCTGCGATCTCCTCTTTGGGAGATCGACAGTGATACCAGACCACAAGGTAATCTAATATATTAAATGCAAGAAGAATAAGTATTTGATGTAAATAAAGATTAGGAATTCAATACATAAGAGTTCAAGAAAGTTTAAGTCAAAACTAGGGTTTGCAAGAAGAAATATCGTGCAAAAACTACTCCCTCCGTTTCAGTTTGGTTGACATAGTTTGATTTGTCAACATTTAAGGAAAACATTTACTAAGGGGTAAATTTTACTGTATGGGCACTGTTTGGACACTATTTGAACACTGTTTGGACACTGTTTGGCACTGTTTGACACTGTTTGACACTGTTTGACACTGTTTTGTTTACCAAATGGGAAGTGTGGCATTCATTTTGAAACGTCCAAAAAAGGAAAGTGTGTCAACCAAACTGAAACGGAGGGAGTATGAAATTCGGATGAAAAGAGGGTATTTATTATACAAGGGGAAAACGAGGAAACGCTGGGAAGGATCATCTTCCCTTTTGGAGGAACATAAAGAGGAACGCTGCCAGGAGTGTCGTTCCTCCCATCTCGTTTACTCTTAACTCACCCCTTACTATCATCACAAATCCCGAATTCTAGTTCACCGGAAGCCAACAAGGAGTAAATTATTGCTTCAATTGCCAACCCATTTGTAATGATGAGTTTCTCATTAGTGATTGCCCTAGTATGGAATAAGGATGTTTTCTTTTGGACTGAAATTTGCTGGTCTGGTCTGATCTGGTCTGTTTAAGTCTGGTCTGGTCTGGTCTGGTCTGGTCTGGTCTGGTCTGGTCTGTTTAAGTCTGGTCTGGTCTGGTCTGTTTAAGTCTGGTCTGGTCTGGTCTGGTCTGAACTGGTCTGGTCTGGTCTGGTAAACGTCTGGTCTCTGTGTATTTTATAACTACGGAAGTCTGGTCTGGTCTGGTCTGGTCTGTTTAAGTCCGGTCTGGTCTGGTCTGATCTGTTTAAGTCTGGTCTGGTCTGGTCTGATCTGTTTAAGTCTGGTCTGGTCTGGTCTGGGACTGAAAACAGTCCAAAAGAAAACATCCTAAGTATGAGGGGAAATACAAAGTGGTAAGATATTGAAACTTCAGTACATACCGCTCTTGTTATATATAAAATACCATGTTTACCGAAGAGTTTGATATACCGACACTTTTGAAACCATACAGTAGTATACCTGTAACATCGGACCTGAATTTTTTTCTGTGAGAATTTTTTTTTCAACAATTATTGAGACAAAGAAGGTAAATCAAGACTAAGAGTAGTCTTGATAAATAAGAAAGTAAAATCTTGTCTTAAATTAATAAAGGGTTATTAATTTTGTCGTGGAACCTCTCGTGATATTCTAAGTTCATTTATAAAATATTAATGTTTACCAAAATGATACTATTATGATAGTAGGGATGGGTCATGGACCCAGTGATATAAAGAAACGACAACTAGATGGCCAAGCGGGCCGAGGTCTCTATTCGATAATTGTGAATCATTAATCATCAAACTGATAATTATTCGGAAGGCTATGAATTAATAACAGAAGGAATATAAATGTTTTAAAAACCCAAAATAATGGGATGATAATGTATGATTAAATTGACATATTAGAGGTGGGTACTTTTGGAGGACCCTACCTTGAAGATATTTTCATATAAGAATAAACAGATAAGATTTTATCTGCTTATACAGTTGGGACCTCTTAAAAACAAGTGTAACATTTTATTAAAGTGTCACAAAATATGAAAACACATATTTAATCATTAGGAATGATGAATGAATTTTTAAAACAACGTGTTGTCATTTTTATTGTTACTTGAACAGTAAAATGCACATTGGGCCCACACATGGGCATGGACCATCCGATATTTACAGACCACATATTATATTCACCTTGGTCTAGATAATATTTACATGATGGTGTAAATTAATGTTGAGCCATAAAGTTGACATTTCGATCAAACGAGGTCCCATTACCGGTATAGGTAATTAAACTGATAATAGCCCGAAATGAATTTCGGCGACCACTAAATTAAATTTGGGTAATATATATTCATTTTAGAGGCCAATATTAATGGGAAGAATGATATATATTTTATTTAACACGATAAAATAAAATATAATTGAAACAGTCCAGAAAATACAACTTTCGAGACCGATTGTACACTTTTGGACTTAAAGGGATGACCTCCCACATTAGTGGGGGCCACCCCACGAAATTATTCAGCAAAGTAGACAAAGGGACGGCTGTATAATGGTAGGAAAGAGATAAGAAGTTGGCTTGAAGTGATGAGCATCAATGAGAGACATATGTGGACCCTTTTCCTTAATATTATGGGTGGAATGAGCCAAAAGGACATCAATCTCTCTCCCCTCAATCACCCACTCGGCCAGCACCATCAAGAGAGTGAGAAGAACCTCTCTAAAAATACCTCCATAGCCATGAACCGAGCTCAAGGAGGAAGAAGGCTCAAGGAAGAAGAAAAGCTTGGAAAAAAAGAGAAAAACTTAGTAAAACCAAGGTAATGACTTCAATAGTATTTTTCTTCCTTCATTTAATCTCATATGATTTTATAAATCATATGATACACTTCTAGAGGTGTTGAATGAGGGTTTGGAAGGTTAAGTTTAACCATGAACGGAGTTATGGCCGGAGTAAGACCGGTTCACCGGAAAACACCTTCTTGGAAGGTTTTGACATTTATACCACTTTTGGTTGTGAAAACTTGTTAGGAATTTTACCAAGGTATTCTAGACTTCTCGAGGAATCTAGGAGTGGCCGGAAATTCGCTGGAGCCGCCGGAGTTTCGCCGGAAAATTCCAAAAGTTACCGGAGTTCAAACAAAGAGGATAAAAGCTTGCTAGCGTCATTTCAAGGTGAGTGGACGACTACGTGTCTTGTAACTCTTGAGTCAAACGTGGGATTACCTAAATAAAATCATAATCATTATTTGAGAAATGATTAAATGGATTAAAATGCATGATTAGTCATAGTGAATATGAATTATGAAAATATTATATGGTTAATGAATAAAAGATTTATTTGTGGATTAACCATGAATATGTTATTGTCAAATGTATAACAATGCATACATGAACTATGTATGAGACAACTAGAGTAATCTAGTGTATGAATATGTAAAGAAATGTTTAAAAGTGTTTAAACATGTGATTAACTATATTGATGATAAGTTATGCGAAAATGACATGATTAATGAGTAATTGAATCATTAATACTTTTGATGAAGGATAATCATGAATGATTAATTTGGAAATTAACCAAGGAAATTCAAGATGGTATTCTTGAAGGATTCAAGTTTTTAATCATGCAAGCCATTAAAGTGAATTTAGTTTATGAGAAATAAACTAAGGTAAAAAATACAAGGTATGATTAATTAATATAAATGATTTTGTTGGCTCATTTGAGAAATGACCAAAGTAACTCAAGTAATATTCTTGTAACTATTTTAGAAATGCTTAAGAGTGCATGTTACTAAAATGATCTAGTTGTGAGGGATAAACTAGAATAAAATGTATAAATGATTAATAAGTATGAAATACTTATTAATAGTTGTGAGACTATAATATTCTAATTGAATGATGAATCACGAATGGCTCATCTCATGAGGTGATTAAAGGAAATGCAAGGTGGTATCCTTGTGAAGAATTAAAGGTGCTTAAGCATGCAAGTTATGAAAGCAAACTAGTTTATGAGATAAAAGTATTATACATGAAAATGATTGGAAATATTTATATAAAATATAAGATATGTTCGAATGGCCAAAATAGCATTTATTGATTGTATTGGACATAATACATATTGTGTAAAAATTTCGGGCCAAACGGAGCACGTTTCGGGGGTCAACTCAGAGGTCAACGGGCCGTTGACCCAAAACTTCGAACATACTGGGCGCCGGGTATAGGGCATACCCGGGGCCGGGTAAGCTGCTGCCTCCAATTTTCGTTTTCGCCGAAAACGCGAATCGGAGCCTGGTTCGACGTGGGATTAATTCTAGCCATCCTATATATGAATATTTTGCATGGAATTGCATGAACTATGATGTTTAAAATGCTAAGGCTTGTAATACGGATTAAACGCTAAGACTTGGACTAGTCGTTAGTGAATAAATTATAGACCACGACTGGGCGAGGTACGTGGTAGATTATACATGGCGGGTGAATACCCGGGACCAAGTAAGGTTATATAATACTCTGTAGGACCAGGAGGAGTCCTCTACACGCAAACTTTAACAAGGGTAAATGCAGTCCTTGAGGTGTGTTTAACCTCCATCAAATTGCATATAGGTAACAAGGGCAAATGCAGTCCTTGAGGTGTGTTTAACCTCCATCAAATTGCATATAGGTAACAAGGGCAAATGCAGTCCTTGAGGTGTGTTTAACCTCCATCAAAGTGCATATAGGTAACAAGGGCAAATGCAGTCCTTGAGGTGTGTTTAACCTCCATCAAATTGCATATAGGTAACAAGGGCAAATGCAGTCCTTGAGTTGTGTTTAACCTCCATCAAATTGCATATAGGTAACAAGGGCAAATGCAGTCCTTGAGGTGCGTTAACCTCCATCAAAGTGCATATAGGTAACAAGGGCCCGTGTAGTCTTTGAGGTGTGTTTAACCTCCATCAAATTACACATAGGTAACAAGGGCCCGTGTAGTCCTTGAGGTGTGTTAACCTCCAGTAAATTACACATAGGATGAGGGTGTATGCGTACTCCTCAAGGCGGGGTTATCCCGGAAATGAAAACTATGATAGCAAGGACGAATAGTCCTCGAGGTAGGTGAACCTCGAAGTAATGATTTTAAATGATTAAACGTGCTTGATCGGGAACGAGTTTCCGATAGGATATTTTCCTTGGTCTAGGAATTGATTTAAACCACATCCGTGATATGGGAGTCTGAATGGCCCCACAGTAATTATATATTGATATCGAGTGAGTTAGCCTGCGGGTGACTCCACTCGAGGGTAAGATACGGGAAGGGTGAATTTAATGAGGCTGTCACGCCTAAATGATTTGAAGAACAAATGGGCCTACGGGCCAGATATTTTACTCATATGTATATATGTATACGTTTTGTTTTGAAAAGGGGTAGCTAAGAGTTATGCCCATAATTATACTATCACCCTATTTTGAGGGTCTCACATGAGAAACGTTAGTTACATTACATACAGTTTGCCCTCACCAGTACTTTTCTGTAGTACCGATCCCTCGGGGGAACCACCCTTTCAGGTTGAAGCTAGAGCTTACCTCCTGCACCCGTTGCTCGAGAGATCGATGGAGAGAAGACGTGGTTCGTGCTTCCTCTCGTTCTATTTTTAAATAATTAAAAAAATGCTCATGGAACTATTTTGACTTATAAATTAATGAAGCCTGCGAGCTCTTGTTTTACCCTTGTGTGGGTTCTTATTAAACACTTATATTCCGCTATGTGTTTAATTGTATGTTGATGTTGTTATGTATGTTTACTAATCGGTTTTGGCATATGTATCTATCGGACGTCTTGTGCAATTCGGTAAGGATGAACTGCGGTTATTTTTATTGGGTTGTACGACGGTTGTCCACGTGGCACAGACGCGGTCTGGGGCGTGACAATACCGATTTAGAAGCTGTTCTCTTCGCCTGATCTGAATGTTTCTGATCTGAATTTTTTAAGTTCTGATCTGATCTGATTTTTAACGACAAGATCAAGCGAGTTGTTGCTGCGGAAGCGAATAAGGACTTTGTGGATATACTTTTCAGTTTTCTCACCCTTCCAATGGGAACCATTATCAGGCTCACCAGCAGCTCTGCTCAGCTAGCAGAAACACCTATAAGCATTGGATGCATGAACAAGATATACCAAAGTTTTCAAAATCTAGATAGTGAGTATTGGCAGACAGAACACTGTAAGAGCATGCTTCTGAATCCAAGAAATATCTTTGTCAGCTACTGCAAGAAGTTGAAGATTAATATTGATGATTCAGGGTCTGAAATCACATAGGGCTGTTCCAGGGAGGGTTGCTCACATTATAGCATGTACCAAAATGTTAGTTGCCGTTGTGAAGAGGGGAGGACCACCAAAGAAAGGGAGTCGGTCGAAAAGAATGTCTCAAGTCAAGAGGGGGTCTTTTTGAAGGGAGGAATAGTGTTCATAATCAGTGATGATTTACAGGTTAGGCCTGCCACTCCATCTGTTCTTGCTCAACTTATGCCTGACATCAGTTCAAGAGAAGGGAGTAAAATCAGAGAGATGCATGTAAAAGTTTCCATGGCTGAGGTAACACACTGCTAATCTATATAGGTATTTAGTGATCTAATATTTTGTGTATTCTTATTCGATTAATGGGATTTGGCCGGCGTAAAAACCCTAAGAGAGTCAGGTACATTTTCAAGGCACTCATTTCATTAGTTTAATATAAATGACTGAACAGTCATTATACAGTTACCATACACTATAAATTTCTAGAACTCCTCGGGCGTATTGTTGTTAGGATAGAGTAATTTCACATTTATCATGACAAGGTAAGTTTTGTTCTTTCTCTTTGCTATTAAAAGATAACAGTTACAATGTAATCCTATTTTTGGAAAACCCAAACATATTGTTCCTCTTTAAGTCAATTTCCTATCAAAAGAGTGAATTGTGTCACATAAGTTATGAAAGATGATGATAAAACTTCTAGTTACCCATTTGCATCAGTATATGCACTATGGCCCGTGGCCATTCATCCGCGTGCAGTGCGCGGTATGTAGCCAAAATTTTCAAATCTGACTAGAGAAAGACTACATAACGAAAGTGTTTGGCCGAAGTGTTTTATGGATTATGGCAGTGTTGAGTGACTCGAATCAAGACCTCAATTTTATCACTTTGCAGGTTATCTGCTTGTTTGCACGCTCACTGATCTCTCAGTCTCCTTTAAGTGACGTTTTTCTCTCTAAACTTTCTGGATATGGAATGGTGGGAATCCAGAGGAAACCGTCAAAACTTGGGACTTCTTTTTCATCCCCAACTGCCGCCGCAGTAGACACGGCTAAGGAGAAAGTTCCTACTCTGGATCTTAAAGTGACGTGTATTAAGTCGACAAACAAGATATTGTTTGGTGAAGCAACAGATGAGTTCTTTGATTTCCTTTGCAGCTTCCTGACAACTCCTGTTGGAGCAATGATACGGGTTTTGGAAAGGCAGTCGGGGTTGAAATGCTTGGATAACCTGTACACAAGTGTGCTGGAGTTGGAGCAGAAATGGTTTCATTCGTCCGACAAGTGTGGATTACTCAACCCACATATTGCGGAACATCATGAGTGCAAGAAGCAGCCGCTCAGATTTGCTTTTGGCAGAAGATCTTATTATGGGCCTAATAACCCTAAGGGCGGGTTTTCTTCTAATTTTGCTGTGGAACCATCTGTGTTCTTGGTTTCGGATGATTTTGAAGTGAAGCCACTTTCTGTTGCCTCCTGTTTCCTCTTACTAAATGAATTACAAATTCCTTTTGATCAGACTGAAGAGAAACGGGTTACTGTGGGTATGAAAGAGGTATTAGTTAACACTGCTCAATCCTCATCAAACATTTCTACTAAAATACTTCCATGCGTATCAGTTTGATTTTTTAACTGTGCTTATTGCTAACAGGCGATGAGCTTACTGAAGGCTGCTCTCACATCACCATCATCTGCTCTTACAAATGGCTTGGGCCCCTTCTTGCTGAAGCGCGAACCCTAGCCCCACCATTTATAAATGCCTCTATGAAAATCTGAGGGAGAGCTTCAAGCGTTGAAAGTTCAGTTATATTTATCCAGTATCCTCATGATCCCAAGAATGTTTTTTTGCTCTCGGTATCCTTTTTGTACTTTGAACTCAACTATGGTGTACGGAGTATTATTCTCTAATTAAAACTCCTCTTTGTTTCTTAAGGTCTATCTTCCCTTATTCTTATATAGATAGTCAAATACCAAAACGACCAATGTCATCTGTCACTCTATGAGAAATTATGCCTATACCATAAAGGTAGACTCTATGGTACTATTAAGGTACTATACCTTTGTCTACATGGACCAATTAGAATGATGCAGTTGCATTATTTAAATCTAAATTAAAAATGATATAATGATTTGAACAAATAACTGAATGGTAGGTACGGTACCCTATGGTAAATGCATCTTTAACTTTTCTATTTAGGAAAAGGTGTGAGCTCACTAGAATTGAGCAGTAAAGGTCAATGTAAGACGGGCTATGAGTTGTTCCAGAATTGGTCCTGGATTGTAGCTGCCTGAAATAAAATCAGAACTAGATAACTCAGTTATGGTTTCAGTTAGGCATAGATTGGGCTGGGTCCGGGCCGCGACTGGGTGGGCTCCGGGACCTAAATAATCAAGCCCGGTATCGGCCCGGCTATATAATGGTACTGGGTCGGCCCGACTCGTCCCAGCCCAAGGGCCCCAAACCCATTTTTTATCTATTTGGGCCCGGGCCTGGCCCAGCCCGACCGGTCCGGTCCAATAAATTCCAATCTTGTAGCCCACCTATTTATTCCTATGGGTCGGGTTTGGGCCTAGTCCCGGGTCTCTCTCAAGTCTCAACCAGTCTGGGCTGGGACTACACAATACCAGGCCGGGTTGGGTCCGGGTCAGGCCGACCCATCCCAGTCTATTCCTAGTTTCAGCCCTCACCTAAAACCAACATGTCCAGCATCGGTGGCCTAGGTCCACCCCGTATGTAAAATTGCATAGCCTAGGCCCACCCCATATTCGTGAATCTTGACTACGAATCTACGATTGTTCTGTGGATCTCGATCTTCTAATAAATTTTGAGGGAAGGAATTCAATATGTTATTTGATTCAAATATATGTGCAAGCTATGCATGGTGTGAGTAATTATATACACAAGAATAATATTGAATTATTTCCCTTAAATTTTATTTTCGTACTTTATATTGTCTCGCACTAAGCTTATTTTGAAAATGTATACCAATATGGGACCGAAGTAAGGTGCTGTTCTGTTCGTCTTATTCTTATTACTTATTGCTTATTCTTATTTTATTCAGATCAGATCAGATCAGAAAAATTCAGATCAGAACAGATCAGATCAGAAAAATTCAGATCAGATCAGATCAGAAAGATTCAGATCAGATCAGATCAGACAGATTCAGATCAGATCAGATCAGACCAGATCAGAAACATTCAGATAAGAAACATTCAGATCAGATCAGAAAAGTTCAAACATGATTTATCACTTTTATTATTATATTAATTATTATTATTATTATTAATATTGTTATTACTATTATGATTATTATTATATAATTATTATTAATAATATTAATAATAATATGATGAAAACAATAAGATATTAATAATAGTTATAATATTTTGATATAATAATAGTAATATAAATGCAATTATTAAGAAGTCTATTATTATTATTATTACAAAATTATAATAATAATAATATGATTAATATTATTATAATATTATATTATAATTATATGTAATTATAATTATAATTACAATTATAATTCTTATAATTATAAGTATAATCAATTGTAATTATTATAATTATATCTATAATTAATTATAATTATAATAATTATAATTAAAATTACAATTACAATCATAATTATAATTATGATTATAATTATAATTATAATTATAATTATAATATTATAATAATATAATACTCATTATAATAATAATCATATTATTATTATTATATTATTGTAATAATAATAATAATATTAATATAATAATATCGTTATAATAATATTAATTGTATTTATATTACTATTATTATATTATAATATTATAATTAATGTTAATATAATTATATTTATTATTAATTATAATTATAATAATTATAATTATACTTATAATTATATTATAATTATTATTTATGATTATAATTATTATTTTTATTATAATTATTAATATTATTATTATTATTATTATTACTATTGTAATTATTTTACGGAGTAATTATAATAATATTGATAACTATAGTTACAATTATAGAGATAAATTTTGTAATTATAATTACAATTATAATCATAGAAATATTCAAATCAGATCAGATCAGAAAGATTCAGATCAGATCAGAAGGATTCAGATCAGATCAGAAACATTCAGATCAGATCAGACCAGATCAGAAACATTCAGACCAGATCAGAAAGATTCAAATCAGATCAGATCAGAAAGATTCAGATCAGATCAGATCAGAAAGATTCAGATCAGATCAGATCAGAAAAATTCAGATCAGATCAGATCAGAACTTAAAAAATTCAGATCAGAAACATTCAGATCAGGCGAAGAGAACAGCTTCTAAATCGGTATTGTCACGCCCCAGACCGCGTCTGTGCCACGTGGACAACCGTCGTACAACCCAATAAGAATAACCGCAGTTCATCCTTACCGAATTGCACAAGACGTCCGATAGATACATATGCCAAAACCGATTAGTAAACATACATAACAACATCAACATACAATTAAACACATAGCGGAATATAAGTGTTTAATAAGAACCCACACAAGGGTAAAACAAGAGCTCGCAGGCTTCATTAATTTATAAGTCAAAATAGTTCCATGAGCATTTTTTAATTATTTAAAAATAGAACGAGAGGAAGCACGAACCACGTCTTCTCTCCATCGATCTCTCGAGCAACGGGTGAAGGAGGTAAGCTCTAAAGTTCTAAAAGGCGCTAGGCGCTAATCGGGCGCCAACCCAGCGCCTAGCGCCTAGGCGGCTAGGCGGGCATCTAGTCGGGGACTAGTCGGAACTTAGAAATTGCATTTTTATCTATATTTTTGCATAAATATGCTAAGTAATATTGTATTCTTGGGTGAATAAAATACATATATACACATACATTATCAATCATGAATGATAGAATTATCACATTTAACTTCATTATGTTATAAATATAAATAATAATAAAATATAGGTATATATACAAACATATATAGTCTTTATCTTAATTTGCAACTTCATTTCTCTATATCTATGACTAAAGTTAAAGTACTTATATCTCTTAGAAAATTAAGATTAAAAACTAAAGTAATGTTTGACGAATCTAGATGGCCTAGGCGGCTGATTAGGCGCTCTTGGCGGGCAACTAGGCGCCATAGGCAGCCGACTAATTCACCTAGACGGTAAACCAATTAGTCGGAGCGCCTAGACGAAAATCGGGGCGCCCGACCACTGCCTAGCGCCTAGGCGGGGACTAGTCGGACGCCTAGAACGATTTTTAGAACAGAGGTAAGCTCTAGCTTCAACCTGAAAGGGTGGTTCCCCCGAGGGATCGGTACTACAGAAAAGTACTGGTGAGGGCAAACTGTATGTAATGTAACTAACGTTTCTCATGTGAGACCCTCAAAATAGGGTGATAGTATAATTATGGGCATAACTCTTAGCTACCCCTTTTCAAAACAAAACGTATACATATATACATATGAGTAAAATATCTGGCCCGTAGGCCCATTTGTTCTTCAAATCATTTAGGCGTGACAGCCTCATTAAATTCACCCTTCCCGTATCTTACCCTCGAGTGGAGTCACCCGCAGGCTAACTCACTCGATATCAATATATAATTACTGTGGGGCCATTCAGACTCCCATATCACGGATGTGGTTTAAATCAATTCCTAGACCAAGGAAAATATCCTATCGGAAACTCGTTCCCGATCAAGCACGTTTAATCATTTAAAATCATTACTTCGAGGTTCACCTACCTCGAGGACTATTCGTCCTTGCTATCATAGTTTTCATTTCCGCGATAACCCCGCCTTGAGGAGTACGCATACACCCTCATCCTATGTGTAATTTACTGGAGGTTAACACACCTCAAGGACTACACGGGCCCTTGTTACCTATGTGTAATTTGATGGAGGTTAAACACACCTCAAAGACTACACGGGCCCTTGTTACTTATATGCACTTTGATGGAGGTTAACGCACCTCAAGGACTGCATTTGCCCTTGTTACCTATATGCAATTTGATGGAGGTTAAACACAACTCAAGGACTGCATTTGCCCTTGTTACCTATATGCAATTTGATGGAGGTTAAACACACCTCAAGGACTGCATTTGCCCTTGTTACCTATATGCACTTTGATGGAGGTTAAACACACCTCAAGGACTGCATTTGCCCTTGTTACCTATATGCAATTTGATGGAGGTTAAACACACCTCAAGGACTGCATTTGCCCTTGTTACCTATATGCAATTTGATGGAGGTTAAACACACCTCAAGGACTGCATTTACCCTTGTTAACGTTTGCGTGTAGAGGACTCCTCCTGGTCCTACAGAGTATTATATAACCTTACTTGGTCCCGGGTATTCACCCGCCATGTATAATCTACCACGTACCTCGCCCAGTCGTGGTCTATAATTTATTCACTAACGACTAGTCCAAGTCTTAGCGTTTAATCCGTATTACAAGCCTTAGCATTTTAAACATCATAGTTCATGCAATTCCATGCAAAATATTCATATATAGGATGGCTAGAATTAATCCCACGTCGAACCAGGCTCCGATTCGCGTTTTCGGCGAAAACGAAAATTGGAGGCAGCAGCTTACCCGGCCCCGGGTATGCCCTATACCCGGCGCCCAGTATGTTCGAAGTTTTGGGTCAACGGCCCGTTGACCTCTGAGTTGACCCCCGAAACGTGCTCCGTTTGGCCCGAAATTTTTACACAATATGTATTATGTCCAATACAATCAATAAATGCTATTTTGGCCATTCGAACATATCTTATATTTTATATAAATATTTCCAATCATTTTCATGTATAATACTTTTATCTCATAAACTAGTTTGCTTTCATAACTTGCATGCTTAAGCACCTTTAATTCTTCACAAGGATACCACCTTGCATTTCCTTTAATCACCTCATGAGATGAGCCATTCGTGATTCATC